ATCAACATCGGAGGGACAAAAAACCCGCTTGCTGATTGGCAACAAACTATTGTGATTGTTTTACCTCTTTCGGAGCTTGTTAAGCCACCAACACTGTGTTTTCCCTTAAGAGCAACAATTTTTCCTGCTTTATGGCAAATAGACAATCCAGATTCATCTACGTTGAATAAGTTTGATGGTGGAATAATCTGCATCCCATTAACATTAAACATTATTTTTTCTAGTTCATTGTAAAAACGATTAACTTTGTTTCTATTAAAACCAATGGCTCGATGCAATGACGTTGACTCAGCAACTCTGACAGAGAATTCATTATGGCGTTTCAAAAAAACCCTAAACCATTCTTTTCCTGCTGACTTAGTTGCACAATTAAATTTGTGAATAATTCTATTTTCTTCACAAAATTGAAATACCATTTGTTTTACATCTTTTGGAGACAAACCAAACAATCTCTGTGACATGGTCAGAAGAACTTCTACGAGCTCTTTTTCTTGAAAAGCTGAGAGTGTTGTTGGGTGTCCTGCACGTAACTTTTTAACAAAATTATTAACAGGTGCTCGTTTTATATAGTTATGTAGTGTTTGTCTTGGTATTTTATATTGTTTAGCAGCAGAATATTTCGAGCAACCATCAACTAAAACTGCATTTACTGCCAGTTTTAATGATTCTTGTGACCAATTACCATATTTTACACGTTTTGAACTCATTATATGATGCTGTAAAATAATGTTTACATATATATATATATATATATATATATATATATATATATATATATATATATATATATATATATATATATATATATATATATGCATATATATATATATATATATATATTATTATTATTATTATATGTATATTATTCAATAATATTCAACAGTATGTATATAATTAATAAATGATTTGTTATATACAATAATAATTATTGTATATAACAAATTATAAATTTATTATATACATATTGTTATGTATGACATAAATTTAAAATATATTGTGGGGAACTATTATTTTGATAAGTTTCACAGTGACACTAACTAAATTCACTTTTTTACTAACTCGTTATCAGTTTAATATTATTTGAGTTACTAAAATCAATTTCTTCTATACATAATATTTAAAACGTTTATTTCCATTTTAGTTTTGGAGAAACAACAGGTCGGCAAATTCGGCACTGCCGAAATTAAGAACTATTTATAAGCCGAAATTATCTCCTTAAAGCAGTCCTAGGGGAAACTATTATATCTTGTAAAATACTTTGAGTTTAATTTTATTGTTGCTCACATTTTTTTCAGTGTATATTTTTGAATGAAATAAATACAAATTTTTGGTAGAAATTTTCGAAAAAAAATCATTTATCCTCTATTTTCAAAAAGGAAAAAATGTTAAGAAAAAGCTAATAATCATAAAATAACGAACCTATAATGTAAAAATAGAAGTTTAAACCAATATTTTTAGAAAAAATGTTTATCTTTTTATAATACTCAATTATAGTTTTGATATTTCATTAAATAAATATTTTTAGGTGTTTTTTTTAAGTGGTGCCGAAATTATCTCCCTGCCGAAATTACCCTACTTTACCCTTGACCCTTTACTTTACCTAAGGAAAAAAATCTTTCTATCATCACTAAAAACAGTTTAATTGATTGTTAGATAATCAGATTACTACTGCTTTAGTTTCTAACGTTATTTTTCATTAAAAAATTGTATTCTTTTCATTATTGCGCTAGCCTGCTATAATATGGAACCTGAAATTACTCTGACCCAACTATCATCCAATCAGTCATCTATTATTTCTATTTATTATTTTTGATTGTAAACTACATTTTAATTTCATTTTCTGTAAATAGTCTACTAATATTAGGAAAGTATTTAAAGCTTTTATTAAAAAGTTCCTAGTATTTTATCTTGAGTCTAATAATTAACTCTGGTAATGGATACAGAAAGGTTCTATCATGCATTAAATGGAAGTGGCGAGTTAAGCGCTACTGCTCTTGCAGAGCCGGCCTCAGGCCATTGGCTGATCAAAGTAAACTTAGCGGTCTAAATAAAAATCTAAAAATTACTAGCCAAGTCCAAAGAGGCCCATCGAGGAAAAAAAGGTCTAAAAAGAGATGATGAGCGGTGGTTTAAAGCAAAATATTTTGGTTTAAACCAAAAATTTATTCAAAACTATGCAGAAATTCAGAGACTAAAGTGGCGTTCCATTTTCTGGAGATGTGTAGTTAACAACATAACAGCTTGATCTAACAAAACATTAAAAAAATTCAACTTGATAATTTTCCTTTGGATCAGTCAATAATTTATTTAAGCTTTCATAACCAAATTGAGCAAATTGGTTTTACTTTTTATACATTCCAGTAGAATGTCAAATTGCTTGTTTTTTTATTGCATCAATTTCGTTAATATATTGATTTGAAACAATAAATTGTACCAGATTGTTAAACCATAAACAGAAAATTTTAATTTGTTTTTCCAGCCCGGTTGCTTCCAGTTCTTGCTTTTAGATTTTTGCTTATTTTAGTCACTTTTACCAACAAATTTGATGCAAAACTCCAAAAAATGTTATTGCAATAGCTGAAGATTTCATAATGTCTCCGAAAATTAGATAAAGACTGTGATATCCACAAGGTACATAAAATGATTTTAGATTAATTCAAGTAAACGTTTTGTACACTACAACTTTCATGTTTGCTCCGTTATCATATTCCTTGCTTCTGCAGTTCTTTCAATATAAATTCAGATCTTCAAGTTTTTGAAGGCATACTTCTACGAGACCAATGCTGTTGTTGACCGGTAGGAATCTCATTAAATATTTATTGATTTCTATTGTTGCCCTATTGTTACATATTTGCAAAATCATATTCATTCGCTTATGGTGACGAGCATTAGGTGTGCTTTCAAAAATGATGGAATAAATATTTCAATATTTTAACATTATTTATAATTTTTTGTGGTAGCATCACCAATCAGATTAACTATCTCATATTGAATTGTTTTGTCCAAGAAATGATTATGGTTTTCCTTTTTTTTACGACGTAAATGATCTTCTAGGTATGAATCATACTTTTCTAACAATTCGACCAATCCCCAAAATTTCCATTGTTTAGCTGAAACAATCAATCCAGTGCTAACTTCCTTTCTGCAGGAAACTGCACAATTAAAAATAAAACATTTTCTCAAATGCTGAGTCATATTTTGAACTATTTTTTGTGTTTCTGTGTCAATTGCGAAACAGTCCTTTTTTGACCAAGTAAGCACGTTTTTTATTGCTAACTGATTGTAAGATGTTCATAAGCTTGTACCATTTCAATCGAAGTTGATATTTTAGCTCTCATTTGCATAGCTTGAACCTGAATTTTCTAATACCATGGATTCTTTCTGTAAATTAGCTTATTCGTTGACCACTTCTTCTAAAGCCATCTGACCATGATGACCACATGTTGGCGATTGGGAAAATTATTATTTATCCTCTTCATTCTAAGCATCTAAAGTTGATGTACTAAATGATGTACTAAATGTAATGCCTCATAAGTAGTGAAATTTAATAAAGTATCTCTTTTTGTTGTAAAAACACCCTTCTCCACTTTTCTTTCGGGTTTTAATGTACCAGACTAAAAAAAATATTTTTAACAGTTTCACCAAAAAGAAGAAACAAGGGTTAATTCCAATTTTATTAAATTAATTCAATTTCTTATTTTATTCTTTGTTTTATATTTGTATTAAAAAATAGATAAGTTTTTTCCTTTTCTTACATGACCTTTTTGATCCCTAAACTATAGATACTTAACTATTAACGCTTAAAGAATTTGTTTAACTATAAAAACCCTTTAGGAATTTCAATAAAAAACAACTTTTGTTTTTCAAACAATCTTTCTTTTAATTACAACTTATCTATTAATATTCAAAGAACTTTATAAAAGTATAAAATCCCTTCGGGAGCTGTGGTGAAAAATAACTTTCTTTTTGTAATGAAATTTCGTATAGTTTTAACTTCTATCGATGTTCAATGTTCATAGAATTCTATGAATGTTCGAAGAGCTTATATAACTAGGAAACCCTTTTGGGAATTGCAATAAAAAATAATTTTTTTTTGTTAATAAACTTTAAAAAATCTTAAAAACCTCTTGTTGAGGTTTTTAAGATTTTTTTATCCATCTTGCTGAGGGGCCCCACCAATCGGAAGCCTAAAACTGACTCATGCTCTAAACATATTAAAACCTTTTGATAAAGTTTTTCATGCCGATCTTTTCCATAATCTCACTTTTTTTAGTATTTGGTGAAATTCTTAAAATTATTGAATCATTTCTTTCTAATCACAGTATTAAACTTGTCTTTAATGAACAACAGCTTTCATCATTCCAGTATCTTCTAGGGTATTACAGTGTTTCTTCCTTAGTCCTGTGTTATTCCTTTTATCTTTAAAGTCAATGGCACAGCTATATGCTTCTTAAAAAAAATTATCAATTTTTGACGGCATAAAATTTTTTTAAAACATATCTTTTCCTTGTTGGGAGTAAATTTGTTAAAAAAAAATATGTACATGCAAAACCATTACTGAGAGACATGGGAATGGTGGTTATTAAAGTTTACTTGCTTTTAATACTCTTTATGTTTAACGGATACTGAAGTGCAATCGAATGACAATATTTACTGTTATTAATTTACATGTTCATGAAGGCTTTTATTTTTGTTTGAAACTTGTAAAGCTTACAGAGGATTCTATGATTGTGGTCACTTTAACCATCTTTATCTTTTTTGATCTTTTTTTTACAGCCTTTTTTTATGCAACTATATTAATATATTTCCTATAATTTCTATATTTTTTAATTATATGAATATCGAAAGCTATACTTAAAAAAATTCACCTCTACATTTTACTTGGTCTTTTTACATTTAGTTTGAAACTAGTTTATATTAATAGAATTTTTTTGTTTGCAGTTGGCCATGCATTATATTTACATTTAGTTTATAGTATTAAAACATTTTTTTGTTTACAGATGGCCATGATAAAACTGAATTAGTTTATAACTGGTTGTTAGATGAGAATTCAATTGATGAAAAATTTAACATTGCTGTTCATGATAAAGAAATGGCAAATTTTTATGTAACAAGCGCAATTAAAAGTTTAGAAAAAACTCGTCATCACGAAGGTAAACTTTTTGTTTGTTGGTCAAAATTTCTCGTTATACTGTACCTGAAAGCCGGGCATAAGACTAATAGAGACTTTAAGTCAATCTTAATATGGAACTTGCTCGCACATTTTTGCTTTTAATAACTTCACTAAATAATATAAATATAAACTATTTATATTAAAATTGAAAAGTTAGCCATAGAAATAATACAGAAACAATAATAAATTTAGTATAATAATATTAAAATGAATAAGTTTGAATATAAAATAAACAATAAAAAATTTAAAAGTTTTATTACACTACGCTGGAAAAAATATCTTATAAAAAAATTATAAAAATAATATCTTAACAAAATAGAAACTACTCCTTGTAAGTAAAGAAAAAACCCTACAAACGTAAAATAACATCTCACAATTAAGTTTTACTACGCATGCTTCCGTTTCATGCAAAGCCGTGACTAGGCTCCTCCACACTTCTCAATTGGGAAGGGGCGTCTAGCGAATTTAGGCCTATTTGCAAATTTAGGGATCTTTTTGCAAATGTAAGAAGCTTGTTTTTTTAAGTAATACCTATTGAGCAAATTTTGAGGAATTTTGGGCCTATAGACAGATTTTTTTCAGGAGGGGGCTGGGGGGACTCTGGTCTACAGCCACAACACTGGTTCAATGCTTTACGTTTTCCCTCCGTTCCTTATGTCAAGTTCTTCTACAAATGTTGTTAGGATAAATTTACTCATTATTTGGAATAATGAAATTTTAGAAATTTTAGATTATTGATAATTAATATAATTAAAATATTTCAATAAAAAAGTTATACTTGTGCCAAATAAAAAGTAAAAAAATAATAAACTTCACATTTGTAGGGAAGAATGGGGAAAAGTGGGACAAGGAAAAGTGGAGCATCCGAAATATTCCAATTATTATGAAAGGTCCCTAATCAATGTTATTTTATGTAAACAACGAGATTTCTTCCCTCTTTATTTAGCAAACTCCCTGCGTGTGGTAAGAAACACGATTTTGAAAACTACCCCCGAAAAACAATTTTTAGAGGGGTGAAGCGGGACAAAGAAAATTAATTAATCTCCAATTTCTCCTATATCACTTTAATGTAATTATATTGTGGAAACCTCCTTAAGTATTTTGATAATTTTCCACTTCGAAAACCGACGACACGGGTTTCAAAGTGGAGGGAAACAATTGTCAATTTAAAAAAAAAATCCTTAATATCAATAAATAAAAAAATTCTTTAGAAAAAAAAGTTGGGGGGAGGAGCGTGCCCCCCTGATCCCCTCTACCATCCTTCCCCCGTGTTGTCGGCTCTGTTATAAATTTAATAGTTTTAAATTAATAGTTTTTGTTAATATGTTGTTATTTACTCGTTTGTCTCACTTTATCCTTATGACACGTTTCCTCTTAAATCAAAAGTACATATACTTTATTATAACGTTTTAATCTTAGGGGAATCAGTGCCCAAAATAATACTTTATTTGTTAAAAGTTGTTTCACTTTTTTTGTGTGTGTGTGTTAATGCTCTTAGATCTCGTTTTCTTGAATGAAGCTAGTAAGTCACTTTTCTTTGTGTTAAAGCATTTAAATTAAATTTTCTTCTATTGAAGCATTTAATTGACTTATGTCAATTTATTTGGAACAATTTTTTTTTGTGTTGAACCAATATATCACTTAGTTTTGAGACATTTAAATCAGCTTTTATTTGCATTAAAAAATTTACATTAATTTTTCTTGTATTTTTATCACTTTTTCTTTTTTTCATTACTTTTATTTGTGTTAAAATTATTTACATAATTTTATCTTGAGTTGTAGCACATACCTCACTTTTCCTTGTGTTAAATTTATTTTGTGTTAAATCACTTGTGTTAAAGGATTTTTTCTTTTCTTTTCTGTGTTAAAGGAATTAAATATCTTTTTTTTGTATTGAAGCATTTGCATCATTTTTTTATCGAAATAATTTTTATTCAAACCACCTTTTATGGTGTCGATTCTTTTTCCTTATTTTATCAAACACTTTAAATAAATCTTGTTGAGATTTTTACGTCAAGTTTTATAAAATAATTCTAATTATTCAATTTTCAAAACCGTTAATTTGTTAATTTGAAAACAAAGCAAAAATCTGGACATGTTGTGAAGAATTTAATTACCAAACAGGCTATTCGCATCGCTGTGCGAATAGCCTGGTTGTAATTAAATCTTGAGTAAAAGATCATTTAGTGTTGAGTTGCACCCTTGCGCAATTCGCGATTTGAACTTGCGAAGATTTTAACGTTTTGTAATCGTTTCGTGATTTGCACCGTTGTGCAAATCGCGAGTAGTAAAGATCATTTAGTGGAGTTGCACAATGTGTAATTCACAAATAAATTATAAATTAGATCTTTTAGTGTTTAACTAGAATACTTTTATATAAACGTTAATATTACATTTATTGTATTAATATTTTTTTGCACACCTTTTTTTTTTAATTATTGGAAGTAAATTGTATCAGATAATATATAGAACAACTTACTCGTGAAGTTTTCAAGACGATTTTAACGTTTTGTAATAGTATTGTACAATACTATAATAAATAACTACATTAAAATATTGTAATAATATAAAATGATATAAGATACATACTTTTTAATATTTAATCTTTATTTTGTCGTGGCTACGAATGAAACAAAGCAATCCACAATCAATATAAATAAATCTAAGCGATAAAAATAAGGTTTAGGCGTAACGTTTGATTGTTAAAGAACACTTTTTGCCAATACTTTTAACTTAATTTGTTTAATTTAGCATCATTTTCCAGCGCAACTGCAAAATTTACATTTTGCCGGCGACGAGAATATTTTATTTTACAAATTTATCTGCCGTGCGCATTAATTGTGGCTGTGACGTGGATATCGTTTTGGATAACACCAACTTCTGTTCCTGCGCGTTGTGGTATTTCAGTAACAGCTCTACTGACATTGATCACCATGTTAAGCATTACAAACTCAAGAATGCCAAAAGTTGGTTACATAAAAGCACTGGATCTCTATTTGTTCACTTCGCATATCTTTGTATTTATGACTCTAATTGAATACATTATTGTTCTTCATTGGTTTCAAAATAAGAAGAATGTTTCGGAAAAAGTAGTAATTTTTTTAAATTAAGTTTTATCTGGAAAAGTTGTTAATAAAGCGTTCATAAAAAAACATGTTTTAGTTGTTACAATTTATAAAAAATCTTTTTTTTTTCTAGATAAGTAATTAATAATGTTAATTTGTTTCAGAAAATCTCACCGTTTGACTGGCGTTTAAAGTGTAAATATACATCGTCTGATATATTTGATAAAAAAAATACTCAAAGTAACGAAAATGAAAATTCGAACAGATCTGCATTATTCTGTAAACTGTTAAACAAAAGAAGCGCCATTCAAAATGAAAGAAAAAATACTTATATTAAATCTGAAAACTTGAATTTAATAAATGAAAGAAGTAACTTTAAGTTTCAAAACTTGAAATCCTCTTTGGTGAACAGAGAGCAGATCGAGATTCTAGCAAGAGATGATCCGAACTGCTCAAATGTTAATATTGATTTTGTTGCACGTTTTGTGTTTCCGATTTCTTTCTCTTGTTTTAATATACTCTACTGGTTGGTTTATTTTAAGGATTAGAATATAAAAACATATATATATATATATATATATATATATATATATATATATATATATATATATATATATATATATATATATATATATATATATATATATATATATATATATATATATATATATATATATATATATATATATATATGTTTAATTCTTTATAAATATTTATAAAGAATTATATATATATATATATATATATATATATATATATATATATATATATATATATATATATATAATTCTTTATAAATAAGACAAATTGTTTTAATTTTTTTCTGCAGAACCATATTTAATAAAATAGATAGATGTTTCGATTTAATTTTAGTCACCTTCAGTAAAAATGATATTTAAAATTTATTCTATATTATAAAGAGAACTGTTACTTTGTTTACTTTGTTTAATTTTCACTTTAATTAGTTATTTTTAATATGTTTAGAACCTTTTCAGAAATATTAACAAACGCTAAAGTGATTACTATATCTTTTCAATGTTGATTGTAAATAATCTTAAATTTGTAGTTTTCTTTATAGTTCTTGAAATATCCCAAAAGCTTTTTCGATAACTGTTTCTGAGCAATTTAACTCCAATGTATTGCAAATATTGTTGTTTCTGAGCAAACTTTATTTTTTTAAAGGTATTTGTTGTCAGTTAAAGAGTATAATGTAAGAATTATTAAAATGAGATAAAATAAAATTAGATAAAATTAAATTTAAATGAGATAAAATTTTTATTTTGTTTTGTTTAGTTCTTTTAACAACATTTTCTGGTAAAATGTCGTTGTATATAATGTATGAGAACACGGAAAACTCGAAGAGGATTGTAAAAACCTGTCACCGAGAACCGTTTAACAATACATTAATAATAAACTATTTATTTCAAAAAAAAAAAAAAAATGAAAAGTAAATACGGTTTAAGAAAACATACAAATAAGATTAGATAGATACCTTAATTATAAAACACCGTTTAACAAAACAGTAAAAAATACAATTAAATATTTTAAATTACGTTTAAATAACACTTATAAAAGAGAAACGAGATCAAAGGAACTCAAATATATTATCTATTACGAAAATAACTTTTTTCAGTTTAATTTTGAAAGTAGAAAAATTTTGGGAAAACTAAAAATTTTTTAAAACTATATGATTGCACAGAAAAAATCTGCGATATATATAAGAGACCTTCCAAAATTTGTATGCGAATAATCATGGTAAATAAAATTGTCGTTTCTTAGATCATAATTGTTTTTCGGCTTTATTGCATATAGAAAAGAACATTAAAAACATTTAGTTGGTATGTATTAAAAATACTCATTTTAAATTAAAGTGGCATGAGTAAAATTTAATCTTTAAAGTTTATTAGTTGCTTCTGTTGTTCATAAAGAGGATCTAATTGACTTTTTTTTTAGCACTAACTTATGCGATATTTGCATAATTTTAATGGCGTTGGATAAGCGAGTAATAAAGTTGAATTAATGTGTGTCTATATACAAAAACATCTCGCTTTGTACAATATTTCAATATTTTTTGAAGCTTTGTTCCGCAAGGTTTTAATATGATTTTTCCATTTGAAATTTTTATTAATAAGAATACCAAAAAAAAGTATAACTTTTGATTGTTTTATTTGAATATCATTTGAATATCATCGATATTTGAGGCATATCATTTGGCATAAGATATTTTTTGGATTTTGGATGAAATATAATCCATTTAGTTTTTTTTTATATTAATTAATAACTTATTTGACTTGAACCATTTTGAAATTTTAATTAGGTCCACGTTTATGTCATTAAATAGTGTTTTGATATTATTGCTTGACAGAAAAAAGTTTGCGTCATCAGCAAACATTATTGTTTTTAAGTTTAAGTCATTATAAAGATCATTAATACAAACAAGAAAAAGAAGTGGTCCTAGTGTAGACCCTTGCGGTCTATATAGGATACTATATAGATATGAACATTAGGTTTTTGTACGGAGTAAAGATGTACAAGGCCCTGGAGATATTATTATATTTGATGGAGATATTATTTATGATGGAGATGCGAATTTTTTTAAAAAGTTAGGTAATCAATACAGGAGAAATTACCCAGAAAATATTCTAATGCGGAATTTCAGTGGACTTAAACAGGCATTTCCAGCGGTCCACAGTAGTTTTGCTCATCGGTTACCTTGTGAACTATTAGTGCTAGCCAAATTTGGCTAGCCAATGCCTAATCACTATTAAAAATTGGTTTGCCATTTATAGTGGCTGCCACTAATAGTCCACTAAGTGCCTAATGAGAAAAACTCCAATCAATCGCTCAAAACGCCTATATAGCTCTAGAGAAAATCCACTAAAATAATATTTGCTGGGTAGTGTTTGGTGCTGGTATGTGCAAATAGGAAAGAAAGCTTAGAACTAGTTCTCTTTCTTTTAATTCTACAAGTAAAATAAATATTTGGAATAATTGTTTTTCTAAAGTTAGAATTTTTTAAACGAGTATATATTTTGCGATGAAAGATCAGAAATGTCCAAATAAAATGAGAATGTATTTTTTTTTCATTTTTCAATAGTTCGTTTTTTTTTTTTTATGTTGACTTTGGTGCCCCAAGAAGTCTTTACGGTTTTATCACAGAGCACCGCGGGAGATCATTTAATAGGAAGTTCGCGCCTCCTTCACGACCTATGTTGCAAAGCTTGCCCAAAGGTGGGTTTAAACCGCGGATCTTACGTTTCTGAGGCGAGTGCACTACCACTGCGCCACGGCTCCTCGTTACTGGTATATGTTGCCTTTTATATATTTTTAATAAGAATTAACTTGTGGCAGTGATGAAAGATACATGGCAATTAATTTAATGTTAATTTGCCATTTTTTAATGTTTATCAATTATTATCTATAATCAAAAAACATTTTTTTTTAAAAATTCAAATCGTATTAGAAGCGGAAAAGCTGCGTAGTGATATAAATAGTAATTGTGCCAAATTAAAAAAATTTTTTTTTGATGTCTTCAATACTCGCGAGGAAGTTGTTAAAAATATTTACAATTTTTAATAAAGTATTTGTCTTCAATCACCGCTAGAGGGCTTGGTTTTTATTAAAAAAAAAAAGTTTCTCATGAGAAAAAATAACAGGTTCCAATTCTTATTTAAAACAAATTAATTTTTAATATGATAATGATGCACTTGTTGACACTCTGTTGTGTATTCTATAGAATAAAACTAATAAAAATTTTACATTCCAAACATTCTGTGACCAATGGTTAGAGCAGTGATTATTAACATTACTGTAAATGTTGTTTTTTGAAAAATCCCAAACGATCTTCATATATAATCATTTAAAAAATCTTAAACCAAACAACTTTGAAATAAAATTTAAAGTAAATCAAAACAATAAATATTCTCTAAGATCTAATGAGAGGCTCACACATACACTGCCTCGTAAATTAACTAAATAACAAGAGTACAGCATAACATACCAAGAGCCTAAGATATAAAACAGTTTTAAAAATAACCATTTCAATATGGTGAAATCGGTAAATTCATTTAAGTTTCATATTAAAAAAGAGAAATTTTGAAATAAAATGATAGCTTTGGAATTTCATTTACAAACCTTTTTAATAAATATTTTTGTTAAACTTAATTTCTAATACTATGTTTCATTTTTTTATTCAATTTAATTTATATTTATAGGAGTTTATTCTATTTATTATCTTTTATTAAAATATATAACGGAGATTCTTATTTTTTCATATTTAATTGGAGTTTTGTATAACTTTTTTTAAACAAATTTATCTTACTTTAAACTTGTTAAAAGCCCAATTAGAGGTTCTATGAAAAGATTGTGATTGTTACCCATATCTTCTTTGAGCCCCCGTCTGTTTATATAAGTTGTTATTTTTTTTTTGTTTTTTTTTTGACTTAGTGAAAACGTTTCTTTGTATTTGAAAACATTTATTTGTAATTTAAATATTTCTTTGTATTTTAATTTTTTTATTTGTATGAACAGCGAAATAAATGTTGATAAAAAAAAAAAATCTCTGCTATTGTTTTGCAGTGGAAGCTATTAAAGTCCCACCACTTATATGGAACTATCAGGCCGTAATAGTCTTAAGAGAAAGAAGAAATATTTTATATAAGTGCAAGGGAGTACTAGACAAATTAAAATATTTGGACAAATGTCCAGTATTGAGAGGTGGCGTTTAAAAGGGGAGTACTATTCAGTGATTAAGTTTGAGTTAAGTGAGTGTTGATTGAATGTTAGATTTAAGTAAGTGTTGTTTCAGTGTTCTGTAAGTTATTGTATTTTGTGTTTGTACTGTTTTAAATGTTAAAGTTTTATGCGTCATTTAATGTCTTTATATGTTTCTCAGTCTTGTTTAGTTCCGATGTTATTATGTTCTCTTTATATATAAGGTTCGCAACTAGAACAAGTAAGTATAGTCACTAGTCGAACATATATTAGCCGCAAATGCCTTACAGAAAAAACGTGATTAATTATATTAGAAATTGATTTTGTTTTTACTTAATTACAGTTTTGTTTAACTTAGTAGAGGTTCAATTATAATTCATACCGTTTAGTGGAGTTGATTGTTTTAGTGAATTTGTTTTATAAAAACATGCACCCTTATAATGGAAATATTCGTTTTACATTTAGTTTATATTCTCAAAGAGCGACAAACACATGGGTCTGTTTATTTTCAAGCAACCCGAACACCTTCAGCTTCAGATAAAAAATAGGGAACATCTAATTAAACCTACAAGAATTTATAAGATAAATATACAAAAACTTATTACAAAAATCAGAAAATTTATTAACAATTACTATTGTTGCGGTAAGCATAATGTGATACACAGTAAACATAATATAACAAAACTACTCAATTCATTAGACATAAAGTACAACTATAAAGCAGAAGTATTACAACAAACAACAAAAACAAACATCAAATATATAAGGGAAGCGCGCGCATAACTGCTTTGAGAAAGAGAATAAAAATATATCAGCGTTAAAATAAAATTAAAAATAATGTATTATAATACCAGATTCTCGTCAGGAAATGGATATAGTATTGACCCTTATAAAATGAATGTTTTAATGCTCATTCCTAGAAACCCCCGTGGGGATATCATCCTCAAAACATGCAAGTAAAACCCACTCCTACGTCTGCGTCAAAGCCTTCTTATGTTGCAACATTTGAGAGTACACACTACTGCTCAGCCAAATATCCTAACTTGTTCCATTTTAAACAAATTATGTTGATATACTTTTTAGAAAATCAGTAAAACACGTTGCGCAGGAAGTAACATTAGGGGACAAAACATTTGGGAAGAAAAAAGATATGTCAAAGTAAAAGACAGAAGTAGTCGAGTTAGAAAGATAGCATAGATAAAGCGGACAGGATTGCACACGATATTAGAAGGTGCAAATTATAATATTATATCATAACTAGTATTGTGGTTTATCCTCCTCCGGCTAGTTGCCATACAGAGGTCACATTACCAAGGTCCGCAAAGACAAGTTCGGCTCCCCAAGAAGCGCCATAACCCGCTCTACGGACCAAGAATAAGGTGAGTTTGGGAAGAACGAAGATATGTCAAAGTAAAAGACAGAAGTAGTCGAGTTAGAAAGATAGCATAGAGAAAGCGGACAGAACTGCACCCGATGTTAGAACGTGCTAAAACGTACTGTTAGCTTGGTTCACTTAACTAATGAACGCCGACAAAGACTTGATTAGAGTTCATTTGATATGAACTTTTCTTCAACTAGAATAAGCCTTGAAGGATATTTTACGCAATGTCAACGAGCCGTTTATAGAGCGCATGTAATTTGTAAAATTGTACACAGCAATAAGAGATTTATGCGGATTATATATATATATATATATATATATATATTTATATATATATATATATATATATTTATATATATATATATATATATATATATTTATATATATATATATATATTTATATATATATATATATATATATATATATATATATATATATATATATATATATATATATATATATATATATATATATATATATATATATATATATATATATATATATATATATATATATAATCCGCATAAATCTCTGATTGCTGTAAAAATTATGTTCTCTCTAACACCATTTTTCACAAATGCATTCAGATAAATCAATGTACTTGCATACTGAAACGTCAAATAAAGTATTTTCTCCATGTTTTTGAAATGGCATTTCTTTGAAATTCAATTTGTTTGTACGTTTTGTTTTGTAAACTGACTTCATTTACTTTGATTTTATTCAAGAAATATTTTCACAATTCGTTTATGAAAGTAGGAAGCAATGCTTTCCTCCACAAATCTTAAACTTTGTGCGCTAAATTTTTAGATTTTTTTCAAAGAAGGTTGATCTAATCTCATTTTCTGCATTGAAGAAAGATAACTTAGCTTGGTATGTTTGTATGTTGGTAAGGCATTTTCACGTAAGTCTGCTGGTGACCCGAAGATTGAACAAGTTAACTTTCTTTTTGTTGTCCCTCGATCAGAAAATAATTTTCTTATTCAAATTTTGTGCATCGGGGACCTGAGACACAAATAAAATCTTCTATTGTGTTGTGAAACTTTAATCTTGCAATACTTTAACCCCTGACTAATTATGTATGTAAAAATATATTCTTTCAATAATTTAGGATACTGTTGGATGTTTTCTATAACCAATCACCTTACACTTTCTCTGACCAATAGCGTGATTATTTACTGAGACTTAGCTTGAGGGGTATTTTTCTTTTTATTGATTAACCGCAAAATACGTCATAAAACACCATATAATACGTCATATAACACCTGTGTACAATTTTACAAATTACATGCGCTCTATAAACGGCTCGTTGACATTGCGTAAAATATCCTTCAAGGCTTATTCTAGTTGAAGAAAAGTTTAAAGAAAAGTTGCTAAAGAGACCCAAACAAACCTTGATGATGAAGATGGCGTTCATACTGACACTAATGAAATGACCCAACCAATCCTCATTCTAAACATCACAGCTTTTTCAAGCATGGTTGAACCTACTGGTGATAACGAAAAAACTACTACCCGAGTGAATGATTGGTTTAATAAGCCTCACCTGAATGAACTGACAACTTTCTATAAATATCACCCACATCAGCCTGAAACACGTCACTTTAATTCAAAAATGGTATATTATCGTCCTGAAGATGGTATGCAGCGTATGTTTCTTTCATTTTCAGAAGAAGAAGAGTGCCTGTTTTGCAGTGTTTGTTTGGCACATGGAAATGAGAAGCAGAAACCAAGTTTGTTTGTAACAGGTTTTAACAGTTGGACTCATATTCATCAACGTATTGTGAAACACGAATCGTCAAAGAGACACCAAGAATGTGTCGAGGCTTATCTACATTTCTCTGCTGATCGAACCATTCTAGATATGGTACAAGGTCAGCAATATAGTCTACGAAAACAGCAAGTTTTACATCGTAGATTGATTGTGGACAGAGTAGTGTCAATTGTCAAAGTGATTGGTAAACGCGGTTTGCCATATCGAGGTAAGGCTGGTTGCAAAGCCGTCAATGTTTTGGCTAACGAAAGAGTGGATCATGGAACATTTCTTGAAATCGTGATTCTTGTTGCAAAGTACGATGAAATTCTAAAAGCGCATTTGAAGGAAATTATCGACAAAAGCATGCTGAATGATAAACAAGATATGAGGAATAGAGCTAACAGAAATACTTTCATTTCCAAATCCACTGTAAACCAAATTATATTAGGAATCGCTAAATTAATGAAAAGTGCCATTGCTGAAGAAGTACAACAAGTGGGAATATTCTCAGTGCAATTTGACACAACTTAAGATGTAACACAAGCGGATAAATGTGCGATAGTCCTGCGATACGTTACCGACAAAGTTGAGGAGCGACTTATTGGTGTTGTCGATTCACATTCTGGAAAAGGCAGTGATCTGTGCAAATTGATGTCCAATGTTTTGGAACAAAATGGCATTGATATTACTAAATGTGTGTCAGATAGTACTGATGGCGCGTCTAATATGGCCGGGGTATAATGACACTTTTTGGTATACTTCAAAAGGCTGCTATGTTTTTTCGTGAGTCCTACTTGAGAATGAACCTTTGGATTAATCACATGAAAGAAAAAAATGGCCAAAACATTCACAAACGACTAAGTGTTATCGGTGCTACTAGATGGGGGTCCAAACACGATGCCCTTCATAAGTTTTTTGGTACGTTTCGCGACGGTGAAGGAGCATTATACACAGACGTTGTTCAAGTACTGGAAATAGCAGTCTCATCCACTAAATTAAGTGTTGAAGCACGCTATGATGCGCAGTGTCTATTAACGTCCTTATTGAAGTATAAGACTGTACTGACGGGATTTGTATATCTAAGAATAATGGAAGCAACCACACCACTGTCCAAATACCTACAGACGTCTGGATTGAATTTCATAAAGGCGTTTGAGATGGTTAAAGTAACTATTTCAGAAATTCAGGCTCAATCACGCAATTTTGATCAAGTTAAGGTGGCTGCAGACCATTTCATTAATGTGTCCGCAACCATTCTTGACGAGAAAGAATGTGATTGTGTTATACAGACAGATTTGCCAATGGTACGCAAAAGAATAAGAAAAGTAATGTCAGGAGAATTAGCAAATGATGATCCACTTACAGATCCTTAAAAAAAGTTTGAAGTAGAGGTCCACAATAGTATTCTAGACACAGTGTTAAGAAGTCTGTCGACTCGGTTTGCATCACACGGTGAGCTGTACTCTGATATGAGTTGTTTTGACCCCAACGGATTTTCTGAGTTATTGGAATGTAATATTCCAAAAAAAGCCCTACAGAAAATCTGCTGTCATATTTCGGCAACAGGTGTGTAAACTTACTTATAAATATAATTGATTGGTTTGTTGTTAAATTTTATTAGTAATTGCTTAAGTATTTTTGTTTTCCAAATTGGTAAACTTCATTAGATTTTTAATTAGCATTAGATAAGGTTATCTCTTTTGTTCTTTATTTTGAATATTTACAAGATTATCTTTATCTTTTTATATTTTAGGCGAAGAAGCGCAGCTGTTGCTTGAGCTGTTGGACTTTGCAAAAAAGTAGCCAGTTTTAAAAAAAAACATTGGAAGAGAGTTACAATTGTTCTGATCAAATCACAATTGATAAGGATGAGGTTGTGAAGATGACGCCACCAACCATAAATGCGGCCCTCTAAAGAAGTGTCGCTCGTGCATTTACTGTTGCTACCATGTGCTTTGAAAATATAATCTTTACGGCAAGAGCTACTGCATGCTGCACAGGGCTTACAAATTCATGCTCACAATTTCAATTACCCAAGTGGCTTGTGAGAGGAGTTTCAGCAAGTTGAAATGTGTCAAAACAAGATTGCGAAGTCAGTTGACAGAAGATCACTTGGACTCACTGTTGATGATGTGCATTGAAAAGGACATATTGAGTAACATAACCAACGATGAAATTATTCGAGTGGTGAATTAAAAAAGTTACTGTTTTTATGATTTTTAGTTTTTGTGATTTAAATATGAATTTATAAAACAAATATAACACATGTACTTAAATGACATCTTTATCGATTTTAAATAAGTGTATACAAGTCCTTATTGTTCAATAGTGTTACAAAAGTATTTAAAAGTGAGGAGTTACAAGCGAATACGATTTTAAAAAAAAGGTCACTTGGTGGGCCTTTTTCATGATAGCATTTCCCGGGCCTTTTCAAAAGCCTAATCCGCCCCTGATCATATATACAAAAAAAGTAAGCAATAGCATTAAAAAAAAATTAATAATGAATGGTAAACAATACAAAATTATAATAGCAAGAAAAACAAGCTCATTGAAAACATTTAATTGTCTGTGATAGATAACTTTTTTACACCTTAATAAATTTTTTTTCAGCTTTGTCTATTTTTTAATACGTTTATAACACATAATAACAACAAGAAACTTGTTGTTATTATGTGTTATAAACATGTCTTGTAAGTATGAAATGTAAGTATGATCTTCATAATAAATCTCGAGAATATCTACAACCAAATCCAAGTAATTTTCTTTTTTAAAAAGTTAATGAATAAAACATTAAACATTAGAATATCATATACTATATTTATCTTTACTTATTTTTCAAAACTTTAATTAACTAATCTTTGAAATAAAACCACCAGTATAATATATTAAAAGCGAGAAAAGAAATTGGAAACAACAAGCGTGCAACACAATCAATTTTAAAGTTTGAGCAGACTGAGTCTTTTAGTGTCTCGTTGTTTTGCACTCCGTTAGTTGTTGTAGACGATTTAAGGTTTTTGAACATTAAGTTTTCATTTAGTCTCCAGCTCTCAGATTTAACTTCTCTTTTCTCATTTTGAAATGAATTTCTTTTATTCAAGTGATTGTAAAATAACACAGAGTCGTTTAAACTAATGTTGCTTACATGCTTTGCATCTCCAAAGAAATTTAGTGGTATAGATTTATTCGAGTTTAATTGTGAGTTGACGGAAGAAGTTCTCTGAAAAAATTAAAACGACTATTGTTAATTATTTAACTAGGAATAAAAAAATAAAATTCAACTTTATTATATAACACAATAAAAACATGTTTTTCAATAAATGTTTTAACAATATATTTTTACGGCATCTACTTAATTTAGAAAAAATTACTTTTTTAGAAACGTTTTCTTTATTTTTCAACCAGTTAAGAGCAATTATGTATTCAATCAAAGTCATAAATACAAAAATCAGTGACGTAAGCAAATAAATGTCCAATGCTTTTATATAACCAACTTTTGGCATGCTGGCATTTGTAATGCTTAACATGGTGATCAACGTAAGCAGTGCAGTTACTGAAATACCACAACGTGCTGGAATGGCACTTGTTGTTATCCAAAATGATATCCACGTCATAGCCACAATTAATGCACATGGTAAATAAATTTGAAAAAGAAAGTACTCTCGTCGCCGACGAAATGTAAACATTGCGGTTGCACTGGAAAATGATTCTAAAGTGTAAAACAATTATAACTAAAAGTGTCGAAAAAATGCGACTTTAACAAAAAAGGTAGCAAAAAATTATAAAAATTCAAAAATTTGAAAAAAAAAAAAGATTTAGAAAAAGTTCTTGCTGAGCATTTTAAAAATACTTTAATAAATTTCTTATAGGTGCTTAAAAAATAGGGTGCTTATAATAAACGTGAGGTTCCTGTTAAAATAGGAAAATTCAGAAGAGGGCTATTCCACGTTGTACAAAAAGTTTAATATAAATTTCAAATCCTAGAAAATAAAAAACTAAATGTTTCATTCAAAACTTAACGATTTGCAGTTTCTAAAAACATGTAACATTTAGAACTGGTTTTCGAAGAATTTTAGGATTTGATGCTTAAACTTTAAACAAATTTTTATAGACTTCAAATTTAAATTATTTTTCTAGTAAATTATTTTGAAACCTTTTTTTTGAAACTTTTTAAAATTTCTATGTAGATTTGTCTCATGCAAAATATTATAATTTAACTATTATAATAAATTTTCAAATTGAAAATTTATTATAATAATTAAATAGTCTTTCATTGAGAAATTTCTATTTGGTCTTCTTTAAGTTTGTTACGCTGTGACATGTCACGCTGTGACACTAATAGTAACTTTTTTTTATTCTAGCGTAAGAATATTTATTTATTTTAAATAAATATTTATAAATTACTAGTAACTAAAATAGGGCAATAAATATCAGTAGATATTTAAATTTAAATATTTTTAGTTTTTGTGTTATGTCTTTTAAGTTTGTCACGTTGTGACGACACGACGTGACATTTTTTTTAACTAAATTTTTTGAAGACTAATTTTTATTAAAATGTTACGCATAAAACATGTTGGTTTAACATTTGTAGTATTTTTATTGTTTATTATTTGTGGATAAGTTTTGAAACTTCCTTTAATATAACTACTATTGTTTTTTTTTCATTAAACTTGTAGGTGTACCTGCAAATATGTAGACATATTTTACTAACACCTTTGTTATTTAGTTTTTTTTAAATTTTGTCGCGCCATTGCTGAAGTTATTCTGAATGTTTATTGTTTATACAATTCTTGTAAAAAGTAAACTTTTGCAAACAAATTGTTTATTTCTTCGTTGAAAGTAATGAAAATGCCTCTGACACATGCTGAGCGCCAGAGAAAGTATAGAGAAAGACAAATGCAAAAATTTGGTCCGGATTTTATAAAAGAAAAGGATTTGATACGGAAAATAGAAAAACAAAATTTTAATGTTGAGTTAGCACGTTTAAAGGACAAGTTAAGAAAAAGAGTAGAGTTTCTTCATCTAAAATAACATCTAACATCTCTCCTGCTTACAAATCATTTTGTACCCTTGGTAAAGCTGTTAAAAAAGCAATACGTGCTCTTTCGACTTCTCCTCTTAAAAAAGCAATTGTTGTTAAACAACTTGCAATTTAGTTTAACAAAGATTTACCAGATATGCAACCAAGACATGGACCTAAAGCTCTTAATAATGAAACGAAGCTATGCGTCATTAGTTTTTTTGAACAAGATGGTATATATATGAAAAAATTACAATTACAAAAGAAATATGTTTCTTTGTAAATATTAAAAAGAAAGTGGTTCAGTGTTCCCTCTAAAAAATTTTAAGTCACTCCTATCATTTGGTACAAATTTATTTTGATAAGAATGGACAAAGTTATAACAATTTAAGTTCAAAAAAAATGACTTTTGACAACAGTTTCTTTAACAAAGTCGCATAAAAAATTAGTCACAAAAAACTTTATAACTTTTTGAAGAATTGTTTCATTTTACAGTGTTTACCTTTAAAGTATTTTGTTAAAGAATATTTATTTTAATGATAAATGGAAACCTTGTATTTATTCATTTAAAAAATCTTATCTCGCATAGCTAATATTATTAAAATCGGTTTGTATGTCCGCTAATAAATATTCTTTAATGACTGGAATTGAAAAAAGATTTATTTTTCTATTAACAAAAAAATAAAAAAATAAAAAATCTTTTTTAATCTCAGAGTGAAAAAAATAGTAGAATCTCAATTAATGAAAATTGTTATAAGTATAGTTAATTACATTAAAAAGCTTTATGAAAGACTGTAATAAAAGTGATGTTCTCTCTAATTCTTTTTGCATCAAAAAGAATTAGAAAGAACATTCTTCCTTTTGAGATTTACAGATAAAATAGAAACTTGAATAGCTCTAAGATAAAAAGGTATTATTTAAAAAAATTGATAGAGGAAAAATTGTTTTTACAAAAAGTTTCTTTCTAGGCTTTTTTTAATGTCATGAAATAATTTGAAAGTAATAACTTTCATATTATTTCATGTATTATACTATCCCGAACAGGATGTTTTAGCATCTCTTGTATTTTATGTCTTTGATTAATTGCAGCTATAACTGCTAATATTATATTTAATGACGCATATTTTGTAAGGGTTATGAACTCTATAGAATTCGAAAAGGGTTTTAAATTCTATATAATTCAAAACCCTTACAAAACATGCGTCATTGAGTATAATAGTAGCAGTTATAGCTGCAATTACTATAGCTACTTAGGTAGCTATAGCTACCTAAAAAACGTTTGTTAGCCCGTAATAACAAATTTAAAATTTACCGTCGTGGTGCGGGGTTTTCTCTAAACTTTTAAGTGCGCTTGTTACATCAAAGTTTGCCATTTCTTTATCGTAAACTTTTATGTTGAATTTTTGATCGTTTGAACTTTCGTCTAATGACCAGTAATACGCCAGTTCTTTATCATCATGATCATCTGAAAAAATTTAACAGTTAAACTGAAAAATCTGTTTCAGTTAAACAGAAAAATAAAGAAAACGTAAATAATCTCTGAAAATTGATTACTTAAAAATACAAGTTATAATAGCCAAACAACACAATATAACGCAAAAAATCAAGTATTCCTCACTTACAACTTTCAATCGCGATATAGCAAATTTGCTCATCAAAAGGATACTTTCTTAAATCCATGTGACAAGATGCTGCCGTTGAAATTCTAATAAAAAGTATTTTTGACTTTATTTTTAAAAATTAAGTGACAATTTTACTATCTTTATTTTATTTATTATCTTTTATTCGTAATTCATACGAACGAGACCCTTAAAAAGGCAGTTTTTAAGGGTTCTCAAACTTATAAAAATGCTAAAACCTAAAATATGAAGACGGATAAAATGAAAGTAATATATAAGGCAAAATTGCCTTTATTTTCAAATAAAAAGACTCCGCAATGACAACTTTATTTTAAAAAATGTTTCGAATTGACGATAAATATATTTTATCAGAATACCGGAAAATACAAGAAGCACTTGTTAACCAAAATGAATAATACACGGATCTCGGTTTTTGATTTCCTTAGAATGGTTAAAAATTAAAGATTGGCACCAACAAGTCAATATTCTTCGATATTTTTTCAATTTGACAATTAAATGGAATTGCCTTATGTGTAGATCCATCCCAGTAAACATAAAGTCCTGAAATGGTTTATATTAAGTCAAAACTAGTCGAAATATGGATAACACGTTTAGCGTTTTTTCTATTGACCAAAAAGGAACATTTGATTTGAGATCTACATTTTAAGGCTTTTTAACGTATGTGGTTATTAAACGTCGATTAAATGTTTACAATATTGACTAACATAAGTCAACATTGTAAAATCAAAAAATTTGAAATTTCTGACGATACTACCACCTACTACAAAACGTTTAACAAACTTATACATATTAACACATAAAGTTATATATATAGTTTAAATATATTTTGATGATTCTTCATTTTTCTAATCGATTTTTAAAGGAGAAAGGTACAATCACACTTTTTTGAAACAAAACTGTACGTGTATCATTGGCTCATATACAGGGCTTTTAAACATATTCTTTTTTTGTTATATGAATTGGCAACTCTTTGCAACACTCAATTAATATAAGTGGAAAAAAAAAATATTGCACCACAAGTTATCTTGTAGTATTGTTTGAACTATTTCATCGAAAACGCTAAAGGTGTAACGTATCCCATAAATTGTAAATATAAATTGTAAATATTAATATCGCTATATATTGTATATCTGTTGATAAGTAAGTATCTGTTGATAAGTAAGTGTATCTGCTGATAAGTGTAGATCAATGTAAATAATAATATCACCTTTTGGCCTAATGGCTAAGATCAAGTGTAGTATCTGTTCTTATTTCAGCTCCGGACCATCTCTCAATTGGTTACGGTGTTGTTAGAATTCAGAAACAGCACAAGATCGAAATCGTGACAGTCGATAGAGGTTCTTGGCGTAGTCGCTTTTTCAGTGTCTTTTTCTACGTCTGGAAACCTTAAGGCGATCCGCCCACTCCGGACGTAAAATGGAGATAAACCCTTAAATGGTCGTTGCTCAGTTTCAGCTGAGCGGCAACTAATAAACCCTTAAGTGGGCTATACGCGGAGTTTCGGCTCCCAAATAAAGCCGCCTCCTAGGGCCCTGTGTAAGTCTGGTTTCAGCTTCAGGTGTCTCTAGTTGGTTGGTAAAAAAAAAAATAATAATAAGCAATGATAGTTCGTGCTTATTACGTTTGCACCTTCTAACATCGTGCGGAATTTCTGTCCGTTTTCTCTATGCTATCTTTCTAACTCGACTACTGTCTTTCACTCTAATATATCTTCTTTCTTTTCAAACTAACCTTACTCTTGAACCGTAGAGCGGGTTATGACGCTCCTTGGGGAGTCGAACTTGTCTTTTCGGGCCTTGGTAATGTGGCCTCTATATGGCAATTAGCCGGAGGAGGATAAACCACAATACCATTTTAAAACGATTATTAACGTATATATAACGTAGTAATAAAACGTAATATTAATACATTATAACGTAGTATTAAAACGGGCGACAAAGTTACTTTTTACTACTTAAGAGTTTATATCAAGTGAACTCTTTAAGTCTTTGTCGGTTCGACTAACATTACTATTTTACTTTCTAACATTGTGTGCAAGACTAAATTGTGTGCAAGACTAAATTCAAGCCTTTGCTATACGTTCAATTAGACTAAAACTAAACTTAAAGTTTAGTTTTATTAAGCATACGTTTAATAAAACTAAATTTTAAGTTTACTAAAATTCTTTAATAGGAAAGCCTCCATTAAACGTCGAGACGTTTAATAGAGAAACTTTCAATTAAAAAAACGTTCTTTTAGATTTCATTCGGAACGTATAATTGACCAAACCTAAACGTTTTGGCTAAACATCTTACCAAAGTTTAATAGACGTTCATATGTTTGTTGGGATATAGGTTAATCAGAAAATATCTGAAATATAACTTATTCATATGTAATAAAAGCTCAAATCAGGTGGTAGAGATTGTTAAAACGAGATTCGAGAAATTGAATTTTATCACCAATATTACCATTTATTACACCACATTCAATTGCCATCTATAAACTGGAATCAATAGAATTTTGTGTTCAAAAATGATAAAATTCTAAATTGTATTTTTTGTCAAGATCTTTGTCATGTTCCAAGTATTCAGAACTCGATTCCTTTAACACAAATTGTTCCACGATCTCCAACCATGGATGATATCGGTTTCTTTTAATGATTTAGCTTCAAGTTTTGCTTTTTTTCACCATCAAAATATAACACTTTCAAAACTTTTGAATGCCAGCTTGTAAAATTTTTCTGCTTTTTTTTTTGTCATTACAAATTTTATTTGAGTTAATGACATCAAATAAATAATGTGCATTAGCAATAATATAACATAATTAACCAAAACAGCCAATGCTACAGCTAAGCACGCCAAAATTTCTGTTTAATTGCATTCGGGGCCAATGTTGACCGTGAAGTATGCACTTTAAGCTCAAGATTTCGTAGAAGCTTGTGTGACCAGGTAATTATGATAGCTAAGGCATGAGTAATTTTAATATCTTCACTACAATCTCCTTCGGTCAAAGTAAATATTCCATCACTTTTAATCGTTGAAAAACTGCAAATAATAGCTTCAATTAAAATAGTTCAATTATTAAATTATAGCCTTATGAGCAGATCTAAAAAGGAGTTACTTTCAAAACTTTAAGAAAATATTACGCATCTTGTCTCAACATACTTAGACCCAAGGTTCAACGCCGTCGTCCACTCTGAAGGCGAGCTTTTAATTAAAAAAAAAACATCTAAATGAAATGTCAGTTGATTTAAACAATGAGAAACCACTCCCTATGTAAATTTTATAAATGACAACAACATTTATAACTTACAAAAAAACTTGATTAAGTTAAGGAAAAAGATTCTGGAAAACACAACTTCCAACACAGACTTCCCCTAAAAAAATTTGTAAAAAAACTGCATAGAAGATTGCATAGTTAAGAAATTTGGTACCTAAGGTTGTTTGCAAGCCATTAATAATGTTTCTCCACAAGAATGCTAGAAAAAAAAAATTCCCTGCCTTTCCACAGACACTTGATCTGTACAAGCAACAACTTCATCTTCTGTCTTTAGTCAGCTCAATTGGTGAAAATGTAATAAACTATTAACGTCATTCTTTATTTAATAACGATGCTGTAACCATGATTTGGACGATAAAAAATAATTATATATATATATATATATATATATATATTTATATATATACATATATATATATATATATATATATATATATATATATATATATATATATATATATATATATATATATATATATATATATATATATATATATATATATATATATATATATGTATGTATATGTATATATATATACAAAAGTAATTAGAAAAAATTGTTTCAATTTTCTTCTTAAAAAAGGTCACCAAAAAATCAAAAATTCTAATTTACCATATATGCTTATGGATAAAATTTCAAACAATTTTACGATCGTTATTTTTTAATTCAAATTTTTTTAATTGAAGAGATATTATGAAGATTTTAAACATTTAACAGTTTATTGTTACATCATAACACTATAAGTTACAAATAAATATAAAATTACATTGTAATCTGCATTGTAATCTGCATTGTAAATTTGGTCAGTAAACCAATAGTTTGCTTACCTACAAGAGATAAATCTACTAATTTCAAGTAGTAAGTCTCTTCTCTCTGGTAGAAGAATGCCAAAAGAGCTAATATTGCTCGAGAACTCCTGTTTATTGTATAAAACCTTGTTTTATTTAATTTAGGAATATTCTGAAACTTCACTTCAGAAAATAAATCAATATCATTAATAACATCATTATCATTTATCATCATTATCAAATATCATCAAGCCATCTGTTTTAGTAATCACTTCTTTGCCTTTCTTGAAGCTCTTCTTGAGCTGTTCGCAATTCTTAACAAGTTCTTGGACAAACAGATCATCGATATTGGACAACATGTTCTTCTTTTCAAGTTCTTCATTCATTATTACGTGAAAGACTCGGTCAAAAACATGATGTTGATAAATGCGGTTTCTTCAGTTTTTTATTGTAAAACGTTTTTGTAAGTGACTCAAAACCCAATTCCTTCCTCCAGTGTTCATATTTGTAGTTTTCGCTACAACCGTCTTTATATTCTTCCATTCGTTTTATGCATTGGGGATAGCTTTTATACCTTTAACTACAGTACCTGTTTTTTTGTTTGGTAGATCGAGTGCTTATTACTTAACTTCTCTATGTCATCTTCAACGCTAACACTTGATGGCTAATACATTTACAATCAAATGGCAGTGACCAGCTTTTTAAATGAAGTGTTTTCTTCGCTTCTTCTTTAAGATTAACAGCTAATTTAATAGTTGATCTAAATATAACAGACTGTGAAGATGTCTGAATGTCAATCCCATTTTAAATTATAACTGCCAACAAATGATTACTGCTTTGCTGGTTTATAACTTTGAAGATATTACTAATTGGTAGTTCTTGCTGGTACTTGTGTTCTTAATCTTCAGACTCTTGATATTCTGCCTCAAATTCAAAAGTTAACGTTATTGCTGTTGCCGTTACTGTTATTGAAGTAAGCTTCAATGACATTTTTCTTCTTTTAGATTGATGTATAGTTTTTGAACTAGCAGCCTTTCCAGTTACATATCCGAATTGTCTTTTGCTTTCAATCTGAAGATAGTACAATTTATTGAGTTTCCGATTCCGTTGAACTAGTACAATTTATTGAGTTTCCAATTCCGTTGAATTAGTACAATTTTTGTCTTCACTGTAGAACCATTTACCATCTTTTTTTTATATTAAAATCTTCATTCAATGGATAGTATTTTCTTTGTTTTACACATTTATCATTATCGTCTTCAGCACTTGATATAGTTTTGCCACGAACGGCTTGAATTAATAAATGTGAAAAACTAAATTTCTTTGCCATAAACTTGTTATTTCTTTCTCTATTTGCTTTATGCATTCTCGTGTCCCTTTAATAGATTCTTCTAAAAAAAGAAAACGATTAGCAATTTGGTATCTTTTATCTTTTATACCAATTGTTCTTTTAGTGAGGCAGTTATCCCTTTCCTATGTCACTCATAAAATTGTTCAATATTCTTCACCCAGATTGTTTTGTTTCTTTCAGTAGTGCAAGCACTTTTTTTTTTGGACATTATGATTGAATATAATTAATTATAATACTTAAATATATTTTAGAAAGGCAATAATAATAAATATAAGTGCTATTGAACTTCTATATTATTTAACTTCCTTCTGGAGAATACAAAGTCATACATAATTATAAGCTGTCTGAGCTTATATAGTCATAAACTTCTAAAAAATTTCAGAAAATGCTAGTAAATTTCAGAGATTTCTAAAAATATCCAAAACAGTCTAGAAAATTTTATGAAAGTTCCATAAGGTTCAAGAAGTTTCTTGACTTCAGAAAGTCACAAAGCTATTGGCTGCAAAAACTAATTATATACCATTTAAAAAATTTCGTGTTGTGGGTGACCTTTGAAAATTAATCAAGATAAAACCCATTTTTATCATTTTTGAGCAATATTTCATCAATTTATGACAGGAAACTATTTATTTTACAAAAAGTCATAATCATCCTAATATGCAACCCGCGGACACCTTAAATATATATATATATATATATATATATATATATATATATATATATATATATATATATATATATATATATATATATATATATATATATATATATATATATATATATACATATATATATATATATACATGTATATATATATATATATATATATATATATATATATATATATATATATATATATATATATATATATATATATATATATATATATATATATATATGTACATATATGTATACATATATATATATATATATATATATATATATATATATATATATATATATATATATATATATATATATATATATATATATATATATTAAGGTTATGACCTAAGGGATCCGCAGAATGCATACCTTTGGTTTTTGATTTTTTTAAGCCGATTAATTATATTTTAGTTTGATTAGAATATATAATAGAGATTATTTTTAATTCGAACAAATCAGCTTTAAAAATCAACAATCAAATCAGTGTTAAAAAGTACTTTTTATTTCAAAAAGAATTTTACCTCGCATGCTGCAAAATCATTCCGCTTGAAAAATTTATGGTTGTAAATCGGTTTTCTACAGTTACGTAATGAAAATTAGAAGATTTAGAATTAACTAATACAGTGTCCGGCAACCAGAGGTCTTCTGCCTTTTTTCCTAAAATATTTATATATGATTCTGGGCTGTCAAGCAAAATTTTAAATCTTTCGTCAAACCAAAATTGTGAAAAGTAAAAGTCCACATTAAATTTCTAAAAAGAAATGACAATTTTTTTAAATACTTACAAACTGACGTACGTACAAATATACATGCATACAACTAATTTTTTATATTTATATTTACAGTATTATTGTATTTTTTGTTTGTCGCTTTAACTGTTTGTAACTTCTTATGAACTCAATGTCAAAGTATGAATTATATTTTCAATTAAACTAAGCTTTGTGATTATTTAGTGTCTGGAAACAAAAAGTAGATCTCCTTAAACAAAAAAGTTCAATAAAAGCATTTTTAAATTTTTAGTTGTATTATCTAAAGCAACCTCAAAATTTATCAACAGTTTTTAATTTTATTTTAAAATTGTGTTACGTTCAAATGTTACATCTGTGTAACTTGCCATTATAAAAGTTTCTCAAAAAAACTCACGCCTCTCTAAACAAAATTTTTCAACCGAATATCCAATATTTAACTTATTGGCTATTTGACGAGGAGATAGTACTTGCTTTTAAATAAAAATAGATTTGTAACATGTTTTTTTCAGAGAATCTCAACCATGGTTTTGGAGTTTTATGCTGTATTACTTCACTTGTTATGAGGCTTTTTTAATATCAAATTTCAGTTTGTTGTAACCATTTTTCGAGAATTTTATTATAGAATTTCAAAAATAATTTAATCTAAGATTTAAAATGTATGAATTTTATACAACATTTATAATGAACTTACAAACAAAAAGTCTTCAAGAAAGTGGGTTGTAGTGGCATTTATTCTAGGATTTTTACGCTGTCAATCAAACAGTTGTTGCAAAATATATATATATATATATATATATATATATATATATATATATATATATATATATATATATATATATATATATATATATATATATATATATATATATATATATACATATATATATATATATACATATATATATATATATACATATATATATATATATATATATATATATATATATATATATATATATATATATATATATATATATATATATATATATATATATATATGTATTATATATATATATATATATATATATATATATATATATATATATATATATATATAATATAACTCATATATATATATATATATATATATATATATATATATATATATATATATATATATATATATATATATATATATACATATATATATATATATATATATATATATATATATATATATATATATATATATATATATATATATATATATATATATATATATATATATATATATATATAATATAACTCACATCAATATAATTATGTATTGTGATTATAGAGTAGCCTAGCAACAGCTTAAAAAAAGTTAATGTTAAAAAAATATCTTTTAATCTTGAAAAAAAATTGAATACTAATATCAGTAAACATTATAAGAAAGATCAACAGTTCATCTATCTGAAAAAGTTAAAATTTAAAAATTTCTACGCTCAAAATTTTTTTAAAAACGATTTAAAAACAATAAACAAAATACACTAAAGTGGCTATTGCTGTAATTACATTTTATTCATTTTTAGAGGTTTTATATTTAATTTGAAACATTTTATCGTATAGTAGAAGTTACTTTTATTATAATTTCTTCTTAATAAACGGCTAATTGCATATTTAATAGCTAAAAATTAGAAAAGTAGCTCGTTGTCAATGAGAATTTTTTTTTATATTTGATATCAGTAGCCATTTTAAAAACTTTTAAAATATGCAAACTTTACTGCGCTTGCGTATAATAACTTTCCACTTATTTTGTAAGTCTGAACGACCGTGTGGTAATTGCATTTGCTCTGATGAATTGAGAAAAAGAAAACAATTTGTAATTAGATATTGTCTGCAGGGTTCCTCAATCCTCGGACCCATACTTTTCTTGGTATATATAAATGATCTTAATAAACTTCTAACCTTATATGCATCAGGTACGCAGATGATACTAATCTATTCTTCTCAAGCAGTAATATTTAAGAACTCTTTCCTACTATGAATAAAGAATTAAAATCCCTTTTAGCTATAATTCCTGGAAATCCTGGAACTTTTTTCTGAAAGAGTTCAATATTTCGTTATCATATTTTTATCTTTTCCAGAGGTATTGTTAATTTTGTGTAGATCTATACTGAATTTGATAATTATATATTTTTTGTAATGCAAAAAAAAAATTGTTAAATGTTACTGTCAGTATTATTAACATCTAATAATTATTTAGTTTTTTTTTTTTCATTTTTATATATTTTTTAAATAAACATCATTTGTATTTTTTTGGTCAAGAAAATATATCTTTGAAAAAACCAACTTTTTAAAAAAAAGTCCAAGAAATATCCTGGAATTTCGAATTAGCTATTGGCTGGCCAACCTGTTAAACGTAATAAGCTAACTTTAAATATTAATAAAGCAAAATGAACTCTGGTCCATTCGTATGCAAACAAGCGATTTTCATCAACAAATTTGCCGCAACTTTATATAGACGATATCAAAATAAAAAATGATTCCGTTACAAAATTCTTACGCGTCTATCCCGATGAAAAAATCTCCTAA